GGGGTGTGCATGATATCGTTTGGTGTACTGTATTTGGAGGGTTTAGATGATCCCACTGCTGAATCCCCAATAGTGGGCCTTAGCCGATATGGATCACAGCACCCAGATAGTTTGGGCTAATGGGGTTGAGCAACATTCTACCTAAGGCAGAAGCGGTAGCCTTTCAAATCAGGCACATTGTGGCTCCTTCTCTTCTTTCTTCCCAGGCAGCCTCCTCCACCCCTTCCCAAAGCCCCCCCCCCTCCACTGCCCACTTGAAGCAAATGGGAACTCGCTTTACCAGCAGCACTGTGTGGTTTGGGCATTTAAGAAGCCTGTGTGCTCCCTCCCAGGGCATGATGGGAGTTGAGGTATTTCTCTCTGTGTGTTTCTCACTTTCTTTCTCCGCCAATCAGAGGCCTGATGAGTGTCCATTCTCCTCTATTCTTGTGGCATGTGCTTCCCAGAGTCCCCATTTGTGATTTTTTTTAAAAAAAAGATGTTATAGTATATATATTTTTAAAAAATATCCCAAAAATCAGTGGATTAGTGCAATATTCTGAAACTTGGCAGGCCTGCAATTGTAAATTTGCCGTACAACTGAGGCAAGATTAATGCTTATAGGCCTGAAACTGACAGAGAAACAAGTTTCTAATGTTCCCCCATTGGCGCCAATGGACCAAATCTTGCAGAAATGAAAAAGGAAGCCCCCCACCAACCCTGATTTCGGGAATTTTCCAGTTAATGGGATGGGGGGGGGGGCATTCTGTAGTGGTCGACATACACAGGAAGAGGAGGAGAAGCCTCGTCCACTGTGGTCAGTTCACTTTCTGGTTTGCTGTGTATTACCGATCCACTCCATATCTTCTTTCCTTAGCTCACATGATAGAGAGGCTCCAGATATGCAGAAAGGGGGAAAGAGCCGGAATCTGCATAGTAAGTGATCTGGTGGATGGGACTGCTACCCACACCTCCAAGACCACAGCAGAGGTACCCCCATTTACTCCCAGCAGAAATATTCACTTTTCCCACTTTAATGGGGGAGCTGCACCCCTAACTCCCACAAAGGTGGAGGGACAGCTTAATTTCTCATGTTTGGACCACTTTTAGTTATATTATTTACACATAGCTAATTCAGAGGGAGCAATCTATGGGAATGTTCAATTACTTATTATTTTAGGGAACTATCGCCCTAATGTGTTTTTTCTCGATGCACAGTACTGATCAACTGCCCTATTTTTTAATTCACCCTGCATATATCTTCCACCACCTACTCAATTTAGAAGAATACTAGAAGGATTTTTAAAATAAGAAATCATTATAAACTCTGTTCTTGAGTGAGATTGGGAAGGAGTTTTATTCAAGAATACTTTATGATACCCAGTGTTTTCATGGTGTCAAAGAGCTTGTCTTCATACCTGACTGGCTCTCCCTACCAATTTCAGACTCCAGAAATGTGATGCAGGAAATTCTTGCATCCTCTTCTGAAGAAAGAAACGACTCTAGTTTCTATCCCTGTGGCAGTTTCTATCCCATCCTATGCTGTGATAAAACCATCTATTGTCCATACCCAACCTACGTAAGGTGGAGAGAGGACAAGAATAAGCAAGCCACCAATCAAAATCAAATTACAGAAGACACAGCAGATAATAAAAGGGTGCCAGCATTGCCAGTTTCACGCCTTCTTGTGGAATGTGAACTCTACAAACACTTCTGTGGGATTTGCAAGACAAATACATATGGAGGTTTCTACATTTATAAATTTTCCTAAAGAAAAAAAATTTACTTGTTTTGTGATATATAGTACTTGCCGATGACTAAACAGTGCTCTGGACAAGGATTAGCTATTTGTATTTCTTTGTATCTCCTCAGGCTCCTTCTACACTGCCATATAATCCAGATTATCAAAGCAGATAATCCATATTATCTGATTTGAACTATATGAGTCTACACTATAATCCAGTTCAAAGCAGATGGTCTGGATATTATATGGCAGTGTACAAAAAGAGCTCCTTGAATTAGTAACAATAAACATTTCCTTCCTTAAATTTAACAATGACAATTTTTCAGACTAACTAAGCTCTATGTAGATGCAAATCTGTAAGACTGTACCTTTATTTATTTCCAAGCTGTCCCCTACCACACATTGCTGTGGCCCAGTCTGTGTATATGTGTTTTGTGTGTCTATATATGTGTGTATATATTTGTGTATATGTGTATATATGTGGTTTTGCACATGCGTTGTAATGTAGTTTTTTTGCTTTTAAAATCTCTTTCGCTGTGTTTTTTAGTGTTTTTATGAGTGATGATCACCCATCAACTTGATAGGGTTTTTTTTGTCGTGTCAGGAGCGACTTGAGAAACTGCTTCTGGTGTGAGAGAATTGGCCGTCTGCAAGGACGTTGCCCAGGGGACACCCGGATGATTGGATGTTTTTATCATCCTTGTGGGAGGCTTCTCTCATGTCCCTGCATGAAGAGCTGGAGTTGATAGAAGGAGCTCATCCGCCTCTCCCCGGATTTGAACCTGCGACCTGTCGGTCTTCAGTCCTGTCGGCACAGGGGTTTAACCACTGCGCCTCCGGGCGCTCCGGCTTGATAGGTGTCAAATCGTGTCAAATTGTCTAGTGGTTTTTGAGTTATGTTAATCCCACAAACGAACATTACATTTTTATTTATATAGATTTATTTATTTACAGTATTTCTGTCCCGCCTTTCTCTGCCCGAAGGTCACTCAAGGCGGCCTTTCAAACAGACAGAACAGTGATAAACAGAGAGAAAAACAATACACACAATACACAACGTATCAGTAATATTGAGTCCATTCTAGTAAAAGAAGTGCCTTACAAATCTGCTGCCTGGTGCAGGTTTACAGGTGGGACTAACCAGAGAAAAAGTAGTGGTAAATAGTAAGTAAACTCATATTTTTCATTAATGTATAATTCAGGAGTTATGTGAAAAGAGGTTTTCTGACATAATATGAAAATAAAGTTTCATTGTTGACATGTAATACATGTAATTTACAGTCTATGTTAATTTTTTTATTTATATTTCTCCATCAGATCAAGCACATCAGTATAAAGCTGATTGGGAGCATCAAGACCCCAAAGAAAATCAGCGTGGTGCCAGCTAGGAATGTTTTTGTAGAAAACTAAATTAGTGATTCGAGGCAGCAATTCTTCAATGTCCTTTGAATTTGCAATAATATCCTTCCCACCGCTCCATACAGCTGTTGGCACAACCATGTCTTCTATTTTATAAAAAGGAGGCTTGGTCTGTTGGGGGGGAAAGTAAAACAAAAACATTATTTTTAAAAATATTTTCTTTTTCTTCTTCTCCATACCATTCATCTTACAGTGCAGTAGAGTCTCGCTTATCCAACCTTCTCTCTTCCAACATTTTGTATTATCCAATGCAGTCTGCCTCCCACCCGAATCCACAGCTGTTTCAACACATTGCGATGTTTTGGTGCTAAATTCGTAAATACAGTAATTACTACATAACGTTACCATGTATTGAACTGCTTTTTCTTTTCATTTGTTGTAAAACATGATGTTTTGGTACTTAATTTGTAAAATCATAACGTAATTTGAGGTTTAATAGGCTTTTCCTTAATCCCTCCTTATTATCCAACATTTTTGCTTATCCAATGTTCTGCCGACCTGTTTATGTTGGATAAGCGAGACTCTATTGTATCATCAGAATTCTTTACTGGATGACATTAGGCCATTAAAATTATTCTTTGAGAGCTATTTCCATCTTATCGTCTATTATACCTGTATCTCTCCCCTAATAGTAAGTAATAAAACTCGCACATAAAAAGTTTAGCTATATGACATTTGAAGGCTGATTATTTCGCATAAACCTCCAGGTCTATTCAAATTTGCTAAAAAGACACAGATTTATAATCAAATGCACATTTAATTTTTCATGTTCTTGTCTTAATATGCTTGAAAACTTAAAATGTTGGTTTACACAATGATTTCATTATGTCTAATGGCTATGTCATTGTTTCTTTACTGTATTTTAGTAGTGAAAAGTTACAATCCTAACACTCTACTGTATAAAGATAACCGCTCTTACTCGTAAGATACATGGGGATATGAAGCAAAGTCAAGAGGTTGTATAGATAGCCCACATGGGAAAATTACGCAATGTGGAGAGATTAAGTAATCCCCATCTACATTGACCATTTGATGTAATTTGAAGCTAGCTTCAAATTGCATTGGCTAGGCAAGAAACTCAAAAGAAAGCGTACTAAAAAAAGCCCTTAATTCACAGCAGTTCATCAGTTTGTGTAATAATTATCATCTAGATCTTAAACCTGTTCCAGGACAGTAAAACCATATTTTTAGTACCGTTTTGAAATTGACTTAAATGGTAATTGTATATTCATATTCAGCATCCTAGTTAAGTAGAGATTAGTGAATCTGTTAATTCTGGTCTTTCTACATTTCTCATTTTCTTGTTTTCTTTCCTTCACATTGTTCAGTATTCTTTTTAAAGAAATAGTTGCACACAAATTCATATTAATTTCCCTTTATATAATGTTTTTATGCATTCCTTTTCACGAATATGTCATGAAATGTCAATACCAAAGGACGTATGTGTATCTAAATTAGGGAAGTGCCAATTTGAGAGGATAATATCAAAATATGAAAAAGTGAAAAACGTGAATATTTCATTTTTTTAAAATTAAAGATGATGTTGACAAACTGGATGTAGTACATTTTTAAAAATTTTATAATGAAAGTTATTATTTATTTATTTATTTATTTGCAGTATTTGTATACCGCTTTTCTCACCCCGAGGGGGACTCAAAGCGGTTTACGCATAAATAATGGCAAAAATTCAACGCCAGTACAAACAATTACAATTATGCACTTCAGTTAGACATAAATTAAATTAAAAAATACATCCATGAGAAATAAAACAATCATTAAAACAATAAAACAGTCTCGGAAACAGTCTTATGGAAGTTGTGTACTGAAGAGAGGGATAAACTACAGATATCCTGTTAAGTGAAAAAATATTCAAATAAAAGAAAAATGAATGCTTTCAGGGGGAGGAAAAGTAAAATATATTAAGTGAAAATAGGCAAGAAGAAAAGTAAGAGGGGAGTTAATATCCCTATATAAATTAACTCAATTTCTACACATTTTGATTGCTTCATTTGATGTGTTCTTGCTATTTATTGCAAGACAATGATCGTTTAGTAACAACCCAAATCACACAATATTTCAAGATAGCTGCGTTATCAATTATCTTTTCTGCTTTCCTTACCATATTATACACAACTTTGTTCTCATGTCCATAGTCAAAATATTTAAATTCTTTTGATTTAGCAATCTAGAGAGACAGGAAAGAATTATAAGCATTCTGACAATCTGATGAGTTTTCCACATTTTTAATTATACGACTCATAGAATCACAGCATCATAGAATCAAAGAGTTGAAAGAGAACACATGGGACATCTAGTCCAACCCTCTGCCATGCAGGAAAAGCATAAAGTATCCCTAATAGATGGCTACCCAAACTTTGGTTAAAATCCTCCAAGGAAGGAGCTTCCATCACACTCTGAGACAGAGAGTTCCACTGCTGAACAGCTGTTACAGTCAGGAAATTCTTCCTAATGTTCAGATGGAATCGTTTCCCCCCCCCCTGTCATTTGAATCCATTGCTCTGAGTCCTAGTTTCCAGAGCAGCAGAAAACAAGCATGCTCCCTCTTCCTTATGACATCTTTTCACATATTTATACATGGCTATCATGTCTCCTCTCAACCTTCTCTTCTGCAGGCAAAACATACCCAGTTATTTAAGAGGCTCCCCATAGGGCATGGTCTCCAGACCTTTCACCATTTTATTTGCATTCCTCTGAACACCTTCCAGCAGGCATGTAGCCGGGGGGGGGCCTCGGGGGGCTTCAGCCCCCCCCCCGAAATTCTCATGGTGGTCCGCGAGAAAGGCCTTACTGGTACATTATTTAAACTGTTATGTTTATTCATATCATGATCTGATCACCATGCTCAATATATCCCACATGTATGGGGGTATTGGGGTAATGATACAAAAGGTTTGCTAGGGCAGACCCTCTTTCACTCAGACTCAGCCCCCCCCCCCCCGAAACAAAATCCTGGCTACGGGCCTGCCTTCCAGCTTGTGAATATCTCTTTTGAACAGTGGTGATCAGAATTGACCCCGCCAGTGGCACAAGTGAGGCTGGCGGGGACGAGGAGCAGGGCCTTCTCAGTGGTGGCCCCCCACCTGTGGAACTCACTCCCCGGGGAGATCAGATCGACAACTTCCCTTCTAGCGTTTAGGAAAAAACTAAAGACCTGGATGTGGGACCAAGCTTTTGGCCATGCTGACAACTAACTAAAGGATCTGTCGATAGACAAGGACAATGGAATGGAATGGATATATGGACTCTGATATATGGACTCTGACATGAGATAGTTTTTATGATTTTATTAGGTATTGATGTTTTATTTTAATTGTTGAATTGTTATATTTTGTATTGTTTGTTGTGTGATTTGGGCATCTAATTGTGCCTTCCCTGTAAGCCGCCCTGAGTCCCCCCCGGGGTGAGAAGGGCGGGGTATAAGCAGATGAAATAAATAAATAAAATAAATAAAATTGGTCACAGTATTCTAGGTGAGGTCTAACCAAAGCAGAATAGGGAGGCACCATGATTTCCCTCGATCTAGATTTTTGATGCAGCTCAAAATCCTATCAGCTTTTTTAGCTGCTGCATCACACTGTTGGCTTATATTCAACTTGTTGTCCACTAAGACTCCAAGATCTTTTTCACATGGACTCTTGTCAAGCCAGGCATCCCTCATTCTGTATCTTTGCATTTCATTTTTTTTTTGCCTATGTATAGTATCTTACATTTGTCCTTGTTGAAATTCATTTTGATAGTTTTGGCCCTGCTCTCTGATCTGTTGAGGCCATTTTGAATTCTTATCCTGTCCTCTGGAGTATTAGCTATCCTTCCTAATTTGGTGTCATCTGCAAACTTGATAAGCATGCCCTTTAAACTTTATAGTTCACCTACAATCAAAGAGCATTCTGAACCCCATCAACGATAGAATTGGGCCAAACTTCCCACACAGAACCCTCATGACCAACAAAAAATACTGTGTTTTCTGATGGTCTTTGGCGACCCCTCTGACATCCCTTCATGACCCCCCAGGGGTCCCGACCCCCACGTTGAGAAACACTGACTTAATAGCAGCATTGCCTAGCCCACATTTGACTAATTTGTTTGCAAGAAAACCATAATAATTGCAAACATAACATTAGCTACAAGCAAATTCAACATCTCAGGATTTCAATTACCAATATTCTCCAAACCCAATTTTTAGTGAAGTCTCTTCTTAAAATTTTGCAATTGCTAAAAATAAAAATAGTTTCCTAACCGCTTTTAAAAAACCAATAACATATGCATAGTCCCCATTCCTTGAGAATATTTAGCTATTTTGGTTAATGGCAAGCATTCTCCATTACTAATGTTTTACACAAATTTTCATATCAGCTGTGCAGCTTTCATTGGGATATTTAAATGTTTAGAAAATAATTTCTGAACCGAGAGCAGTAATTTTCAAAGAAAATACTTTTTTAAAATGCGAAATAAAAAAATCAATATTCTCACACATATACCAAACATTAAACTCTGCAGTGACACGTTTAGAATAGTAAAGAAAGTGTTTATGAAACTACCTGGCTCCAGTGTCTTACGGTTTTTACGGAAGTAAAATCAGGATAGGTCCCCATATAAACATCTGATCGACTCTGGGGGGAAAGGAGATACATACATTTACAGGTCTAGAATGCACTTTAGTAATATTTCTTAGAGACAAAAGCAATGAATATATGAATAGATACATAGATTTATGGTTGGATGCAATTAGTCACAATCTGTCTCACACCCTGCTTCTACAATTCAGTATGAATTCAGTATGGGACATATGTACATTCAGTTTAGATGTCAATATCCTATTACCTAAAGTAGTAAAACAATAAACAGTAATTTTGACTGTTGGAAGAATGAATAACATGGAGGATTTGGGTAATAATGAAGGATGTGCTATCACAAACCCTATTTTGGAAAACAAAGAGAGCATCAAAATCAAACAAAAAAAATGAAACAACACTGAGTGGCAACTGATGGAATGAAAGCTAACATGTCATTTTGCAGACTATAGTCTTGGAGTCAGTCTATCAGTGTAGTACTGTCATAGAGCATTATGTCCAAAACCTGCTTTATATCACATTCTAAAAGTTTATTAGTCCACATAATTTTTTTTAAAAAAGTGATGAGATGGTGTATGAATAGAGAGTACACTACCTGGCTTGTTGCAGACTTCCTGGTGAGTTTTTTAATATGGTGTTTTGGGTTTGATGCATTTTACAACACATATCGGTGGTGTGCGTTTTATGGACACCCCACCCTTGAGCCAGCCTCAAGCATCATTATATGGTCTGTGTAGATCAATAGTTCCCAATATTTTTTTGACCAAGGACCACTTTGACCAAGGACCACTCTCCAACATTAGTACCAAAAGGGTGACAAATTAGTTTTTGGTCCGCTTTAGATTCAGTTTGGTTATTTAGTGTGCTGATTCAGAAAATAGCTTTGGATAGACCACGTCAGCTCTAGTTTCTGATACAGAACATATGCCATTAAGTAGTTGCCATCTACTCGCCCACAGAAAACTATATTTAATACGCCTCGGTTTCACGAGACCCATAGCTCTCATTGCGATGGTATAGTAACAGTGAGGGCATGGACCATATTTTAGTTCTTGCGGACCACTAATGTTCCATGGACCACAGGTTGGAAACCACTGGTGTAAATGCACCCTTAGTAAACTTTTAAAAATATGGATCAGTTTACCATTTTTGCCCTTCGTTGTGGTTATTTGAATTGTATGTTGTTTTGTTTATCCAAGGAAAAAAAACCCACTTACCACATTTAAATTATACTCATTAAAACCTGCAACAAAGTAAATTAGCTGGAGACAAAGTTTGTCTATTCCTGGATAGCTGCACAAATTGGCACTGATGGTTTTCATCTTGCTACTAAAAAATACGAATTCCTTATTGCCCCACATACGCTGTAAAATAAAAACATACAAATTATTATGATTTTTAAGAACCATAATAATAATAATAATAATAATAATAATAATAATAATACTTTATTTATACCCCGCTACCATCTCCCCAAGGGACTCGGGGCAGCTTACACGAGGCCCAACAGTACAGCACATATACTACATAAAATACAAACAGTAAAATATAATGAAAATAAAAAGAAATATAAAAGAAATATAAATGAACACACCAAACTATATAAAATCACAGTAATTGGGCAGGATGAATTGCCCGAGAGGCCACCACGGAGAAGGCCCTCTCCCTCGTCCCCACAAGTTGCACTTGCAATGGGGGCGGGAGTGAGAGAAGGGCCTCTCCGGAAGAAGATCGAAGGGATTGTGTAGGTTCGTAAAAGGAGATGCGGTCATGAACCATGTCCAAATAGTGTGGGTTTTTTTTAGTGCAGCAAGTTCATGTTCAGGGCAGCTCTACACAGGCACTTACTGCAGCTTCAACAAGTATGACAAAATATTGCTTTAGCACTGCATTGTTCCTACACAGGTGTGTTGTCAATCTGGGACAGTGGCTACAGCTATGCTGTAACCAGTTTCAGTACATGTAAGAATGGGACAGTATTCTAATCCCCTCCCATGCCCCAATTCCCTTATAAAAATTCAGAATATTGACATTTATCTTCATCTGCCAGATAAAATAATAATAATAATAATAATAATAATAATAATAATAATAATAACACTTTATTTGTACCCCACTACCATCTCCCCAAGGGACTCGGTGCTGCTTACATGAGGCCGAGCCCGAATACAACAATACAAGCAAAACAGCAACAGTACAAGCAATTAAAATAAAAACATAGACAATAAAATATACAACATTATCAATAAGACAACACGCAATTAAAAACAGTGGGAAGGCCAAATGTAAAGTTAAAATGGAAATAATGCTGGGACATGGACGGAAGGTGATAGTGGTGTTTGTGGAAGGGCATACGAGGAGACCTAAAGAAATGTAAAGTGCTTTGGAGGACAAAGTGCTATGGGATCATTATTCCGGGAAGGCACACTGGAACAACCACATCTTCAAGTTCCTCCTAAAGACTGCCAAGGTTGGGGCCTGTCTGATGTCTTTAGGGAGTGAGTTCCAGAGTCGAGGGAACTTGACTTTAGGGAGTGAGTTCCAGATATCTACTTCATGGTTAGCCCCATGTGACTGAGCAAAGCAGCTTGGGAGGAACAAGCCCCCTTCCTTCCTCTCACACTTTTGGGCTCAGAGATGGGGGGATTGGGTTGCTGAGGGGCAGGAGAGACCGCTACAGCACCTACCTAGATGGCTGTGGAAACACGATCCTCAATCCACTATAGGGATCCAAGATGGCTGTCCCCACTGCCCAGACACAGGGAAAGATCTACACCAAGGGTCCTCAAACTAAGGCCTGGGGGCCGGATACGGCCCTCTAATGTCATTTACCTGGCCCTCGTTCAGGGTCAACCTAAGTCTGAAATGACTTGAAAGCACTCAACAACAACAATAACAACAATAACAACAATCTTATCTCATCAGCCAAAAGCCAACCCACACTTGCCATTGAAATACTAATAAGTTTATATTTGGTAAGATTGTTCTTCATTTTAATTATTGTATTGTTTTTAAGTGTTTTTGCACTACAAATAAGATATGTGCAGCATGCATAAGAATTCATTCATTTTTTTTTCAAATTATAATCCGGCCCTCCAACAGTTTGTGGGACTGTGACCTGGCCCTCTGTTTAAAACGTTTGAGGACCCCAGATCTACACCATGGACCAAGAGCAGGACTTTCCCCTATTTTATTTTAACTTGGGGTGCAGCTGCATTATACAACTTACTGCTTTTTAACTCAAACCAGTCAGTGTTTGATGTGGATGCACACACACTAATGCAAGTGTACACTGCATTATATGGTAGAGTAGAACTGCCCTCTGTTCTAATGGTGTAATGTTACTTATATTAAAAACCTGGTGATGGGAAATAAAGATTTTGCTAAATATAACAATAAGATCTGATTATGTAAAACTTCAGGCATTGTGTGTTGTTGAAGGCTTTCATGACTGGAATCACTGGGTTGCTGTGAGTTTTCCGAGCTGTATGGCCATGTTCCAGAACATTTCACCCACATCTATAGCAGGTATCCTCACAGGTTGTGAGGTCTGTTGGAAACTAGGCAAGTGAGGCTTATATATCTGTGGAATGTTCGGGTTGGGAGAAAGAACTTGGGTCTGTTTGCGGCAAATGTGAATGCCGTAATTGGCCACCTTGATTAGCATTTAATGGCCTTGTAGTTTCAAATCCTGGCTGATTATTGCCTGGGGGACCCTTTGTTGGGAGGTGTTAGCTGGCCCTGATTGATTATTGTCAGGAATTCCCTTGGTTTTTTTGGGTTTTTTTTGGTTTCTTTATTTACTGTCCTGATTTTAGTATTTTTGATACTGGTAGCCAGTACTGGTAGTTCATTTTCAGGACTGTTCTGTTGCGTGCTGAGCTTGAAACGAATTGCCTTTAAAACAGGACGTGCAACTTTAGCCCAGCGGGAAGCCGGGGGCCCGAAGAAAAATTTGTAAGAATTTTCACCATAGTCTTTAGAGGACTTGTGAAATATAACAAAGTATTTTATTGGTGAACAATCAACAGAAACTTCCTTTGTCTTCAAAAGGTTAAACAAATGCTTCCAGGCTTTTGTGCAACTGATGGCTTCTAACTGTTACTTTTACTCTAAAGGAAAATCCCTTTCCAAACTTCTCCCAGGCTAACTGTGATCCTAAACCTAACTGATGTGGGATCCACTACCGGGTTGAACCACGTCTCAAAGCACCGAGTGGACCTACCAGTAGACCTGTAGTCACTTCAGCTGGAGTTCTTAGATATTCAAAGCTGTTTTTCCCACCGAAATTCCTCACAGCTTTAGGGCTGTTTCCCTGGGAATCTTTGGGAATCCTTTTGCTCTTAAGACAGTTCTCCCCAGGAGGTCTTAAGGGTTGAAGCCTTTGTACAGGAGAAGTCTGTACACATCCTGTACATTGACTTTCCTTGCTGAGACTGACTGAAAATGGCTCCCTTCCCTTCTCAATTGTCCTGAACAGGGGGCAGAACCAAACTTAATGATGATGGACAGGGGGCCTGCCCTATAACTGCAAACTTTAACAGGAAGCCACCCTTCTGCAGAATCCCAAGCCTTGGGCTGCAAGCAAACACTTAATACAAAGCAAATGAAGTTGGAGCTTCTGGTACAGCTGTACCAGCACAAGGATTACTGTTGAGTTAGCCCGGAGCCGGGGCAGCCTACATCTAACCTTCTCTGAGTTGCTGCTGCCACCACTCTTAACTTAGCACAGAGTTCTTTCCAAGCTCCTAGCCATCATGGATGTTTCTGTTTACATCAGAACTGCATGACCAACAAGCAAGATTAGAGATTCCCTCCTAATGTAATCCCCTTTCTTCTCGCTAGATGTGTGTTCAGGGAATGGGTGATCACATTGGTATCCAGTCTGGACACCAGGTTGGGCTGAACAGACTCAGTTCTTCTGTCCAGATTCTCTCAAAGCCCTGGGCAATGTCCCGGAAACTTCTGAGTAAGAACCAGGGTTTTGTTTTGTTTTTTGCAAGTGTGGACAAGTCCCAAGTTTTTCTCTAAAGTTATTTACAAAGTGAATATCAGAATAAAGGTTCTTCTCTATATCTATGTGAGAATGGATATTCATATTGCATGGGAAAACTATTCCTCCAGAGTATTCTTCTGATATACAAACATCCTGACTGGGGAGTTATTTTCTCTCATGTATTTGTATTCCTACAAAGAAAACTATTTTTTTCACAGGAAATTTTCAGCACATAAAACGTTTTTGCATTACAAAGCCATGGATTTTCCTTCAGAGAATAATTCTTCTGTAATAGATTAAGAAGTTTGAAAATTATAAAAAAAAATCCTGGTCTATTAATAAAAATAATTACAAATTCCAGAAAYGGAAGTCATAAAGGAGTGCATGATAAAATGGGCCACCAACATTGGGAGATCTATCAACTACAAAGAATGGGATCAACTGTGGAACAAGAAGATGRAATAYGTCTAYGCGAYGGAATTGAAGGAAAACCATTACAAAATGATATACARATGGCATATGAYGCCACAGAASTTAAGCTTAATGTAYAAGAAAACTTYRAATAAATGCTGGAAGTGTGAATCTCAAGTGGGGAYGTACTATCATCKCTGGTGGACCTKCCCCATAGCCCAAAGCTACTGGAAGGRAATCCAAGATCTATCCCAAGAAATACTTAAAACCAAAATCCAAATGAAACCGGAATACTTCCTGCTGGGCATCACAGACGACATAGAATTGGACTCCAACCAAGACAACCTCTTTACCTACCTCGTGACAGCCGCCAGAATTGTATACGCCAGGAGATGGAAATCAAARGAATCTAGCTCAGTGAAGGAGTGGTTACAAAAAATTTGGGACTTGAAAAACATGGACAAGCTAACCTACTATCTAAAAGATTGCACAGGTACCCCTTTAAAAAGAACAAACTGGAAGCAATTTGAAGATTTTATGAGTATTCACTAAGAAAAAACAGGGCCCTACTAGAAGAATAATAGGACAAAACAAACCATAAACTTATACTAACAAACATTAAAGGGGGAAAAAAAGGAAAAGAAAACGAGCCGAGAAGAGAATGAAAGGAAAGAGAGTGTGAACGTCGGAAGGAAGACTGGGAAGTCAACTCCCCCCCTCCCCACCTTACCCCTTTTCCTTCCCAACCCTATATCCCATCCCCCCTACCCTCCCCCCTACCCATCACGCTATCCTATCCAGTACCCTCCCCTACTGTATATCTATTTTGTAAAATTCTAATAAAGATTTATATATTGAAAAATAATTACAAATATTCCCTGCAGGTATATTTCATTAGGTAACTATCCATCACTGAACACATACAATGAAATGACGAAAAAGAAACATCTGAAAAATACATACTGTTTGGACTTTATCATGAAGTGAAAGAACCATTTTCATGAGTCCCTTGGTTCGCACCAATGTATAGGGAGGAGAAAAAGACATAAAGAGCTTGATTTTTTTAGCAATTTGTGGCATGGCTGTGAAGGTGATAAAACCTGTAGAGAAATGTAAAAGTTTCAGTTGTGAAAAGTTGAAGACTAAGCACAGTTTTTATTCGTTCGTGGGCTTCTGGGTTTTCAGTGATTTTTTTTTTCTGTCTGGCTTCTGGAATGTCAAAATTAATAACAGAGATAACATTGCTATATTTCTGTTTCTTCAACAATGTGTACATTTAAACTTATTTTCCGGATGCTATTTTTCTTATGCAATTAAGGAATGAAAATAAGGGGAAGTAACTCAGGAGACTCTTTGGTAATAAGGATATATTGAAGTTATATTACAATGTGTGACATGTAGAAAAATCTTTAGTTCCTCCACTAAATTTTATGTGTGCTGACAAAGTTCTTCAAGCCATTTGCAATCTGAGGCTTGTAAAAGCAGACTTTGTTAAGAACTAATCTTTTCTCTGATGAGACTTCACTACCTTAAACCTGCTTTTCATGGAATTTCTGGAACAATCTACATGTTGCTTTATCATACTACATCCTTCCTGTGTATTTTCACCACCCTTGCCATCTTTCCTTCTTTTATTATCTTAGATGGCTCAAAAAAAGGAATAAGTGCATTTGTACTGGAGAATCTACCTACGGATTTATGTGTAATTGCAATGCTGCCATGAACCCATCTATAAAGGTCCCATCTACTGTGGGGCCGCTCTAGAGTGGCAGTAGTCTGGACCACTCCCAGAAGTCCCAGCAGAACACACTCCATGCCATCCAGAGCAATCAAGCATGGATCAGCCTTACTTGACAGCCATCCTTATCTGTGTCATGTTGTCGCCAGCATAGTAAAGGCCATGGAGTTCCAAAGAGCTCCTAGCCATTCCTGGGTGTCTTTGCTGATGCAAAGTCAGGAAAGGGTAACCCATGATTTCAGGAAGAGAGAGGGAAAAGGAAGTTATAATCTGACTCCTCTCTCTCTGAGTAGCTGTATTTGCTTATATTGACAAAGGTACCCAATAGCTTACTGGAACTCCACAGTTGCAGCTACAGTTTTGAATCAGAACTTTCTCAGCACTTATACGAGGGTTGAATGAAAAGTTATATCTCCACCTTCGTTACTTGGGTCTGGATGGGAATATTTTAATAAATCAAATGCAGAAATAATCCTTAGAATGTGCTCTTTAACACTATTCATTTTTCCACATAATCACCAGACAATTGGATACATTTCTACCAACAAGTTTTCTGACGCCATCACGGAAGAAGTCGACACTCTATTTCCGCAACCAGTATCTCACAGTTCTTTCAATGTACCCATCATGTACAGATCTTCCGATAGCCAAGCAAAGCAATAATGTGAACCACACATTCTTGTGAAAAGCCAATTATGCTTGAAATTTCTCTCCGAGTGAAACAATGTTCTGTCAGCATTTTGCTTGTGAAACTCAGTGGTTACTGTAACAGGACATCCAATTCTTTGTTTGTTACATAAGTCAGATGTTCCCACCTCAACATCTTTAAACTTATTCACCCAATGATGCACAGTACTCACATCAACACAATCATCATAAACAGCTTGCATTCTCTGATTAATCTCCTTTGGGGTGATACCTTCTGCTGTCAAGAATTCAATGACTGCACATTGTTTAAATCGCATTGACCTACCGTCTGCACAGGATTCCATACTTCGCACTTTAACAACACAACCATTTAATGCTAAGGCTTCCCACCAAAATGAAACTGTAGAGGAGAGTCTACTGAACAAGCCAGTACCTGCTGCATACCAGTACTGCCATCTGTTGAGGAGTTACAATGGTGGAGGCATTACTTTTCATTCAACCCTAGTACCCTGAAATTCAGGGCTGCTCTATAGCTTTCCTTGACTTTTCCCAACATGGGAGACAGGGGCCCCCCATGGCACAATGCATTAAACCCTTGTGCCAATAGAACTGAAGACTGACAGGTCGCAGGTTTGAATCTGGGGAGAGCATGTATGAGCACCCTCTGTCATCTCCAGTTCCCTATGTGGGGACATGAAGAAGCATCCCACAAGGACCGTAAAACATCTAAAACATCCATGCATCCCCTGGGCAACCTCCTTGCAGACAGCCAATTCTCTCACACCAGAAGCAACTTGCAGTTTCTCAAGTCACTCCTGACATGAAAAAAAAACAAAACATGAGAGACAACAACGTTAAATGGCTATGCCCTGCCCTGGGGACAAGATTAATCTGTGCATCATAGGAAATAATGTTTGATCAGACAGACCTAAATCTGATCAATTTCTTTGATTTGAAAAATAGTGAAGCGCTGTGGGTTAAAGGCACATAATATATCCTGATTTTGAATATGATCTGAATTATGAAATTTTCATGTTGAAAAGATGTCCGCTGGAAACATACAAAATCTCAATTCTGACCATTTTAAAAACTTTGTTTCCATTTTTTGACATCTTGACAACTCAAAAAGGATATAGTGATAGATTCTATTCTATTCATCTCAACTTACCAAATGCACCGCCCTGGGAATGGCCGATATAATGCAATTTATCATGCTGAGTCTTCTGCAGGATAAAGTTGATGGCTGCTGGAATGTCATATATTGCCATTTCATGAAAACTGTAAGAGACGTGCACACAACAATTTCACATAATTGGTTCTATCTGAACTAAGTAGGATACAGAGAGGAAGCTAATAAATCTCAACCATGAGGCCTCAGAGTGGTGTGCTTGGTTGGGTGGATGTGCTGTTCTACGCACCAAGAACATGTGTGTGTTTTCATTGGTCAACCTCCGTCAACACCAAAGAGCAACCGTAGTGATTGCTGTCCAAAACAGAACATGGAGCACCCATGAGTAGTGATGCCTTATCATCACTTGTATTTTTCTATCTGAGGTGTCCAGGCTTAGTGGTATGACTGGACCTGAGCTAGAATGCCTGGAAATAGACCTAGAACATATAGGAAACACAGTCTCATTTGGTTATCCCCCTTAATTTCTCTATTGATGTATGTGTTAGAGTTCATTTCTGAAGTAACAAGTAGTAAGTGATGTAAAGATCAATGCAGCAGGGAATGAGCCAAACCACATGGCCCACATTGTGTAGTTACATCCAAGGTGGAGCAGCTACAGGGGAATAAAGGAACCAAAGTACAACTCCTTTGTGTGGGTTGTTGGAGGTGGTCCTAGATTGTTGGAGAGGTGCGTCTGGAGGAGTTCGCTGGAAGGAGTTTGGAGTTACACAAGGCTCGTGTCCCAAAGAGAACATTTGGACTCTGTGTATATATGTTCTTTTATAAACTCTGCAAAAGACAACAACCGAGTTTGTTTCTTGGTCAAAGGCTTCTACATTTGTGAGTATCTACATTCATCTTCATCATGACATGTGTGTTTGTATTGGGACCTCTTTCCCATTGCTATTTTCATCATTACATTTTTTTGAAGTTGTGTGGCCTTAGAGGCACTTACACCATGTATTATAGGCACCTGGCATCATCTGACATAGCTATCCATCATTCGAAGAGGTTAGAACCAGGATTGTTGGAGACCTCCTCCACAAATGAGGAAGAATCGAAAGGAGTGCAGTCAGAATTTTGTCAATCTACAACACATCTTTTCTAACCACTAACAGTTGTCCATAACTAATTTTCTTTTGTCAGAAAATAAATTTGCTGTATTGCTGTAGGGTCAGTCCACCACAACTACTGTAAAAATTGTCCCTCAAACATACCTGAAATTCCAGAATTCTTCTTGATTGATTGATAGGTTCTGGTGTCTTCTAGACCACGTGGTCCCTCTGTTATTAATTATCCATACATCATAGCCAGCGTCGGCTAGAAAAAATCCCAAACTATTGTTTGGAGTATTTGCAAGCCAGCACCTACCTTCAGACACAAGACCAGGTACTAATAACACAACTGGCCTAGACTCTGTTAAAGAAAACCAGAAACAGGTGATTGAGTCATGTATGTTAACTTTTGTCTAGGAAGATTTCTCACCCCACCCTACTACTTCAGTGCTTCTATTTTTATTCTTGTAGAGATCAGTAAGTGATGCATGTGTAAATCTTTCGAGAACAAATGACTGTTAGAATGAATATGAGGAGACAGAACTACTTTCAAACAGTTTGACTAGCATTACATATATAATATTAATATTACAAAAATACCTGACTTCCCAGGATTGCATAATCCATGTGGAATTCTGTTTGCCTTCAGATAATATCCATCATCAGTCAGGATTTCGTATTCTTCACTTGGGTATCCCCAGTATTCGATAATTTCATTCTGCAACAAATCAGAAACACACTGAAAATTGCTGAGTATACCAAAAATATTTAAGGTAAGATTATTAGGTCTTAATCCTCATAATATGATAGATGAAATGTTTTTTTAAAAAATACAAAAAGAACCTCTCACTAATCTTAAATCTGCCAAAACATTTATGTTGAGAGCTGGGGCACACTGGATCTACACTGCAGAACAAATGAAGTGACACCACTCAATGCTATGTCATGTCATGACTCAATGCTATGGAATCAAAGCACCTTGAGGACCCTTCAGACAGACCCAAAACATGGGAACTCCCTCGCTTTTACCGGTGGTGTCATAACAGGCAAAAGTGAATTAATGCAGACAAAACTGAGTTTTCCCCATTTACTACGCATTAATTAAACACCTGAAAATATCTGGACCTTAAGCTGAGGTCTGAATCTTTCCAGGTAGGGCTCTATGGGGATTGACTCCACAGTCCCGGGGGTCAATCCCCACAGCTATCCTGGTACTTTGGGCTCCTAAAGCTAGAAGGAGCAAGAGGGCACCCACCCACTCCCCCAGCCCTCCCAAAGTTACAAGAGGGGTCTGCCCTCCTCCCTCCTCGTGACACATCATTTTCAAGCATCAGGAGTACTCTAAGCAGGGGCCTGCACTGCTAGCAGGCTGCTCAAGTAAGTTGGGAGGATGGAAGACTGGGGGGTTAACCCAGGAAGGCATCTAGCCACTACCTGAGGGAAAAGCCCAGGATTCTGAGAGGTTGTGAAGACAGAAACCCAGGAGGAAGTGGGTTATTTTAACTTCCTGCCGGGTTTCTGCCCTGTGTAGAAGTGCCCTGAGTCCCTATGTTGAGAAAAAGGCAGGGCAAAAATATAGTAAAAAGATAAATGATCATGGGAGTTATGGTTTTACAAGGTCTTTAGACTTCTCTATCAAATGATGCTAGTGCCTCACCAAACTATAACTCCCATAATTCCATAGCATTAAACCATGGCAATTAAAGTGATGTTAACCTGCATTAACTGCCCTGCAGCTACATCCACAGTAAAATGCTAAAGAGGCACCCTGAGGTTTTTGCACTGTAATTTTTGATCTGGCACTAAAGTCTGCTTAAAAGGATCCTGTGTGTAATTGTTCTTGTGTGTAACTCTCCATCTCAATTTTGGGAAGTCTTTTTGCATGCTTTTGAGAACTAAGTATCAAGGTAGATAAAGAAATGTGTGACTGTAGTTGGAAATGTGGCCGAGACGAGCCAAATAGGATACTTTGAGGGAGACCCTGGAATCAGGTGTTGTGTATGATTTTATGGAGACTCTTTTGGAGTTGGCCTCATGTAAGCCGCCCCGAGTCCCTTCGGGGAGATGGTGGCAGGGTATAAATAACATTTTATTACATTATTATTTTTATTGAAAAGTTGACTTTGCAAACCACACACTTGGTTAGGACTATCAATATATTCAGTCTTGTCTCAGAAGCAACAGCCTATTTGTGTCAGACTAGATAATTTTGCACGCAGTTGGATGAAAATGTCAAGGATTATGTGCATGGAGTAAAAAAAATAAAAGGTTTCAGTCTCAAGATTAAGGAGGGTTCTTCTTTTCTGCAAAGCCCCATGAGGCAGCATGAAACAACAATGTTCTATATGTACCAGACTTGGCATCCAATCAAATATCCTTAAAGTCCTATTGCTAAAGATCTTTATATTGTTGACTACAAAACTGAATTTGCAAAGATTGCCAACCAATTCAGGCATGGAAATATGGCAGAGAATGGTGGCATATAAAGATACTAATGACATACATGAACTTGCAAAGGTATATGTAATATAAGGCCTAGGCATAAAAGATAGATGTGATTAAACAAGGTGTGTTTGCTGTGTGAGGCAAAAGGAACAAGACCTTAATTTCCCAAAAGGAGACATGGCACCCTCTAGAGTTCATTCAGAGAGATGCGATGCCTGGACCATGGAAAACAAAATCTATTGTTGAGAAGAGATATTTGCCAACTTTTGGTGGTTTACTTCAGATATACAATCACCTATTTGATCCAATAAAGTAACGAAGCATTATTTGAGCAATCAATTTATCAGAAAGTCAGAAATTTTCGGAGCAGATACTGAAGGTGAAATTACAGGACACTTAATACAGGACTTCCTAAGAAAAGGAGGCATTAAACATGAGACAGCTGCTCCCATATTTTGTGGTACAGAATGGAGTGACATAAATGGGAAGTCATTCACTAAAAGGAATGTCAAGGTGCATGACTGTGGCTGCAGAATTGTGAGGAAGTCTCCTTGTTTAAAAAAAACATTGTCCAACTCCATCGTCTACCTTGGCAGCCACCTCTCCACAAGAGTCAACATTGACACTGAAATACAACACCGCCTGAGCTCTGTGAGTGCAGCATTTTTCTGAATGAAGCACAGAGTGTTTGAGGACCGGGACATCCGTAGCGATACCAAGGTGCTTGTTTATAAAGCTATTTTCCTCCCTGCAAAACGTGGACTATCTATAGACGTCACATGCAACTCCTGGAACAATTCCATCAGTGTTGCCTCCAAAAAATCCTGCAACTCTCTTGGGAAGACAGGTGGACAAATGTCAGCATGCTGAAAGAAGCAAAGACCACCAGCATTGAAGCGATGGTCCTCCGACACCAACTCCGCTGGTGTTGTCCAAATGCCTGACCGCCGTCTCCCAAAACAGTTGCTCTACTCCAAATTCAAGAATGGAAAATGGTATGTTGGAGGACAGAAAAAGAGATTTAAAGATGGGCTCAAAGCCAACCTTAAAAACTATGGCATAGACACTGCGAACTGTGAAGCCCTGGCCCTTGAGCGCTTCAGTTGGAGGTCAGCTGTGACCAGCAATGCTGGAGAATTTGAAGAGGCATGAATGGAGGGCGAAAGAGAGAAACATGCCAAGAGGATAGCACGTCAAGCCAACCCCAACCGGGACCACCTTCCATCTGGAAACCAATGTCCTCACTGCGGGAGAACATGCAGGTCAAGAATACAGCTCCACAGCCACCTACCGACCCACCACCAGTACACCGAACATGGAAGACCATCATCCTCAAGCTGCGAGGGATCGCCTATATAAGTAAGTAAGTATTTCATCAATTCTAAGATGCTCACTAATTTCAGTGCCACCATCAACAAAAACCTCATTTTTAAAAATGCCAAAATATCTCTTTGAATATCTTCTTCATACACAATAACTTTCATGTCAGTGCAGTTTTATAGTGCAGTCTTTTCTACAACATTTTGTTGTGTAGTAAGGAATCAAAATGAATGAAATATTGTAACTCAATTTTTCCAAGTAAAACTGCATAGGTAACTCCTATGTCAATGAGTTAACTCCACTCTTGAAAAGCATGCCACTTTATTTGAATAGCAAGAGTGGAGTAAAGTGATAGCAGCCAAACTGGAAAATGTGGGAAACAATTAAATAAACCTGCTCTTCTAATGTGCACCTACTCTTCTAACAACCTCATCAGATGAGGTTGAAATTGGCGGCATGTGCCAGTTTGCCTTCTCCTTTACAACAGAGCCCGCCGGCTCCCATCTCATGACACACTGCAGCTTCCAACATAACAGAGAAGGCGAACTAGCACATGCCACCAATATCACCCTTGTCTGATGAGGTGAAATTGTAGGTGCACTTTAGAAGCACAGGTTTATTTAATTTCCACCCACATTTTGCAGTTTGGCTGTTATCACTCCACTTTTGCTATTCCTTTGTCAAATAAACTGGCATGTTTTGTGAAACGGATAGGGCAGGGTGGAGGACCTTAACTGCAGTCCTACCCTGTTATAGGATTACTAGTGATGTTTAGTTTTCGCTGCCACCAAATATAGATTACTTCAATAGGCTACCTCCTTATATTTGTTACTTGCATGTGAGGCACACGGAGACGTTTATTTGGTTCGAACAGAGAAAGATGTTTATTTACAGAGGAACAGAAGCTTAATGGTTGCAGATACTGGTACATGCCAGAGAAAGGGCATTTTGTCTCCTGTGCTATGCTAATAATATAATGTAATGTAGTGTAATATACTGTATATATACATATAATATTTATAATATTATAATGCAATACAATATAATACTACTACTAATAATATGATATTATTCGTATATATTTACATGTAATATTACTAATATTACAATATAATTGTATAGTACAATATAGTAATATATAATGCTGATATTGTACTATGCTAATAATATTGTATGTATATATATCTTGTAAGCTGCTCTGAGTCATCTTCAGGGTGAATAATGCAATACAATATACTAATAATAATAATAATATGATATAAGTATATATTTTACATGTAATATTACTAATATTACAATATAATTGTATAGTACAATATAGTAATATATAATGCTGATATTGTACTATGCTAATAATATAATATATTGTATGTATATATATCTTGTAAGCTGCTCTGAGTCGTCTTCAGAGTGAGAAGGGTGGCATATAAATGTCGTAAATAAATAAATACAAAGCCTTATGGTTTCAGAAATAGTTCAAAGCTTAAAACGTATTCTCTCCGAACATATTATCCCCTACGAACCATCAAGATTACTAAGATCGTCTGGAGGGGCCCTGCTCTCGGTCCCACCGGCCTCACAAGCGCGGCTGGTGGGGACGAGGGACAGGGCCTTCTCGGTGGTGGCCCCACGACTCTGGAACTCTCTCCCGCCAGAGGTCAGAACCGCCCCAACAATCCTGACATTCAGGAAACAGGTGAAGTCGTGGTTATGGAGACAGGCTTTCGAAGAATGAGACAACGATCTGGATGGAAGATGGTGTATATTCGATATTTGAGTTTAGTATGATGACTGACCACTGTAGTTTTAAATATATGTGCTTTTAAAATGTTTTATTGTAATGTGTACTTTGATATTTTACCGATTGTATGTGTTTTTATGGTTGGAAACCGGGCTGAGTCCCTCTTATAAGGTGAGAAGCTCGGTATATAAAACTTTGAAATAAATAAATAAATAAAACTTTAGGTTCCAGTCAAGCCTTTAAAACCCAATAAACTTGTAGTCTTTCACTAAACAGTTCCTTAATTACAAACAGCCCAATCACCAGGGTCTTTTTAAAATAATAGTTCTTCCTCAAAGTAACTATTTAAGAATAAAACACAAGCTGAACTTCCACTTCTAACCCAAACTCCAAAAACCTTCCTTCTTCTTACGGTTCCAAAAACCAGACTGAAAAATGGTTCTTTTCCTCCTTGCCTCAGCTTAGCTCCGCCCACTTTCTTCACTGAACAGACTCCCTCCAGGGCTATTGACCAATCAGGCGGCATCACATACCCTAAAGGCTACCTTCTGGCTCCGCCCCCTCAGCTCTATGCTCACAAAATGGCTGCCTGTTTGCTCCGCCCCCTCAGCTCTGAGCTATGAAAATGGCTGCCTGGCTTTTAGGCTTTTTCTAAAAAAAAACCCAACCTTTTACAGCCATCCCTGACACACCAGACCTTCGCAGTAAGCCGATACGTTACACTTTGCAAGTGTGGAATTGTCCTGAGTTGCTCTTCAAAAACAGCCTTTAGACAATGTTGAAAGTAAAAGAAAAATGCTTTACTTCAGCAAACACAAAGGATAAGCAAATGCAATTGAAAAGTGCAAAAGAAAGCAAGGAAGTCTTAATCCAGACACAAATTAAAGTCTCTTACAAAGTCCCAAAAGAAACACCAGTCTTCGACCTGGTGACTCCTGGAAGTAAAATACTCTCTCTCTTTACCCTCCCCCCCAACTTCCCCCAAGATACACCCCCTCCCCCCACCTTACGGGCAATGTACCCTTCCCTCCCCATCCCCATACTGACCTTCCAATTTTTCTGTAGTCCCTTTTTTTTCTCTTTTATTGTAAACTTGAAAAACTCAATAAATAAAGATTAAAAAAAAAAGAAACACCAGTCTTCCATCAGACAACTGACGATGAACTAAGTTCTTAGCAGCAGACACAAAGCAGATTCCATAGGAGTGAAAACATCAGTATCAAGGTTGTTGTTACCAGTGAAAGCCAACTACTCCTGCTATTGATTTATAGCCCTGAATTCTCCACGCAGGAGGTGCTAGGGTGTCTCCCAATTAGCTCAGTGTTTTTAGCAGCTATCCTAGCTGAATGTCGTCTGTGCTCAGTCTCTCTTTGTCTTTCTAGAAATGTGGGCACTTTCAAACCCTCATTGTCTGATTCTTCTTCTCCCTCCAATTCCTAAGCACTTCCCTACTCCTCTTCCTCCTCCGAAGATGAGGAATCCCTAACAGGAATCCCAGTTATTTCATTACAGCGGAGTTAACTCAGTGTTGCCTTGGATCTATAGGGGAAAGCCTGACGAGGCTTCCTCCCATGGGATGGGGGTATGAGTGAGTCAGGTGATACAAGACATGGGGAAACAGGTTCCCCACACCCCCAGATGGGTGCCACTGGAATCGCCACAATCAATGGCAATTCCAGTGGCACGTGTGGAGAGGTCCTAAGATGCACCCCTCTCCTAAGCTGAATACCACTATAAAGAAAAAGATTTTCTCCAATGCAGACAAAAAATATGCGTGCTAAGGCTCAGGTTTCCGGTAAAGAAATAGCAACAACAAATGGGTGGATAGAGAAAGCCATAGATATTATGAAAATGGATCTACTGACTCAAAACATTGCTCAAAACAGATCAATTTTAAACAAAAACAAACTGGAACAACTTTATTAATTTCTTTAAAAAAACCAGCAACTACAAATGTTGATAAAAATGGAATAAAGAAGTCCAAAGGGTCAAATATAAGTTATAGGTACGGGGACTTATATTAATGGGAAGAAATCAAGTTTAAAAAAAACATATGTTGTCACATAAAGTAGTATGGAAGTAATCAGGAATAATATTTAATGTATTTATGTTGGTTTGTAGGGATTGTTGATGCTGATTTCTTTCCCTTTTTTTCCCCATTTTCTCATTTGTTTCTCCTTTTTGCCTTTTCCTCCCCCCCCTCCCTTTTTGTCTCTTTTTGTCTCCTTTTCTCACTTCCCATACTTCTATCTATAAACATGTTCACCCACTTTCACTGTACAAGGAATCAGGATAGTAGGTTGGTTGTTTTTTTTAGTTGTTATTATTATTAATATTTTATTTATAGTTTGTTTATTGTGATAAATGTTGTCTTTGCGTCCTGATGGTACTCACTAATAAAAATCAATTTAAGAAAGGGTTCCAGTAAAACAGGGTCAGCTACCTTTATGCTTCCATTCGACCACTCCCTTTAAAGGAAATTGCTCATCTCATAATATCCAAGATAAATACTTTCAAATAGTATCCTGTGTGGAATAACCATGGAGAGCATGAAGTTTGTGTTACAGATAGGGAGTAAAGAGGCAAACAAAATGATACACTCCCCCCCCCCCACACACACACACACACAGCTTTTCTTAAATGAATCTAAGTAACTTACAACAGTCATAAATACTTGAGGATTCAAATGTCTGTTGTTCTTGAGTTCTTCTGAATCTGTAGCCTGCTGGACTAATAATACTATGGCAATGAAAAGCCACATCCTGGACCTGTGTAAAAAAAATGCAAGCAGTTTCAAAATTTATTTTGGAATGAGGAAAAGGACTTGGAGCAAGGAGGTGGAAAGTAGAGATGGAAATAATATTTTAAAATATTGTCGAAAGCTTTCATGGCTGGAATCACTAGGTTCTTGTGGGTTTTTTCGGGCTATAGGGCCATATTCTAGAGGCATTTCTCCTGACGTTTCGCCTGCATCTATGGCAAGCATCCTCAGAGGTAGTGAGGAGGATGCTTGCCATAGATGCATGTGAAACGTCAGGAGAAATGCCTCTAGAACATGGCCCTATAGCCCGAAAAAACCCACAAGAACCTAATATTTTAAAATGTTTGAAAATTTGTTAAAATTGGTGATGAGAAGCTCTGACCAAAAATACAAGACTGACAATTAAAACAACCTCTTTACTGTGCAAAAAAAAAAAGGGTATACTTAGCAACCTACATTCGTATGTGGCCTGGCCCAAAAGTAATGAGAATGGCTTATTTTGTGTGCAGCGCAGAAGGACCAGGAAAGAAAAGTGAGCTTTGATTAAAGTTGAGTGGCAACTGAAGCCCCTTCCACACAGCTAAATAAAATCCCACATTATTTGTTTTGAACTGGAATATATGGCCAGGGGCGACTCAATCCATTACGCAAAGTAAGCATTTGCAGTATAGTTGATTTTGCCCAGGGGCGCTCTTGAGGCACTTGGGGGAAAATAGACCTTGACATATGTGAGTTGTAGTTACTGGGATGTATAGTTCACCTACAATCAAAGAGCATTCTGAACTCCACCAATGATGGAATTGAACCAAATATGGCACACAGAACTCCCATGACAAACAGAAAATATATATCAATGATTGGTTGGGGGCCCCCAAAATACTGTTTGCTTACTGTTGAAAATTACCTAGGGCCACCTCTGTATATGGCAGTGTGGACTCAGATAACTAAGTTGATATTCTGGGTTTTATGGCTGTGTGGAAGGGCCTTCAGACATACACCTTCCCCAGTGGTGTCTTTATCTTTGTAGCCATCGGTATGTTAGCAAAGTGTGTAGCAGCTTTTGTGTCTTATCACAGGCAGAATGCAGAGGGTCTGGAGCAGCACCCTTCAATTTCAAGAATTGAGAAAAACGTGGCTTGTATGAAAGCTATTTGAATGCTTTCCCACCCACGATACAGCCTTGACTTGGCTCCTTTTTGTTTCCCAAGCTGAAAACCCATCCCAAAGGACGTCATTTTATGACAGTTGAGAACATCCTGACAGTTGCAATGAGGGCTTTGAACAACAGGATTAGTGGAGACTTCCTCCACTGCTATGGAAAGTAGCAGCAACATTGGAATTGCTGTATTTCAATCATAAGGAGTCTATATAGAAGTGGACAAACTGCAATAGCATGTGCATTCAGTAAAAAAAAATCCATCAAGTTATTCTCATTACTTTTGAAACAGACCATGGCACCTGGGATTCCTTGTCAATCACCCATCCAAATGTTAACAAGGGCTGACCCTGCTTAGCTTTTAGGAACTGGTGTCCTTAGGATATTTAGGCCAGAATACATCATACTTACCCATCTTCTACACTGATCATTGTTACTTAGCCCAAAACCGAAATAATTATGACCATTTCATATTTATACATATTATTTTAGCTTTATGGTACTTAACAATGATAGTAAATAAATAAAGTCAACCAACTAAAAAAGTGCAAAACACTTCTCAAATTTCTTTTCATATCACAATATCAAAGAAAAAATATTTGTCAATCTTGCATAAACAAATTGATCTTTAATTACATGTTTACATTGCATTTTATGCATAGTAGATGCTTATAAACCTTGTAACACATGGACATGGAGTTTCATCTTATACATCAGATGATTTCATAAACACATGTGCATGGAGTTTCATCTTATAGATCAGATGATTTCATAAACAAGCTTGTTTAACATATAAAAAGATACATGTGGGAAGAAATTAACTCCACATCATTCCATGTCACATTCTTTTTAAAGTGTTGTGTATTGTTTCAAGAGACTGATCTACTAAAAGGTGGTCATATTAGGACTTTTCTAAATAATAATAATAATAATAATAATATAGTATAGCAGACAGACTACAAGCAGAGGCATAACACTATTGCTCAGATGATTCATTGGAACTTGTGCCACAAATACCATCTGCCTACGAAAAAGAACTGGTGGGACCACAAGCTGGAAAATGTTACAGATAATTAACATGTCAAGCTACTCTGGGACTTCTGAATTCAGACAATACTCCTGACCTCACGATTGTGTTAAAAAACAAAGTGTGCATTGTCGATGTCGCAATCCCAGGTGACAGCAGAGTTAAAGAGAAACAACTTGAAAAGCTGACACGATGTGAGGATTTAAAGATCGAACTGCAAAGACTCTGGCACAAGCCAGTCAAGGTAGTTCCAGTGGTGACTGGCACACTGTGTGCAGTGCCTAAAGACCTTGGCCTGCACTTAAACACAATCGGTGCTAACAAAATTACCATCTGCCAGCTGCAAAAGGCCACCTTACTGGGATCGTCACAGATTATTTGCCAATACATCACACAGTCCTAGACACAATCACCACAACATCATCATAAAAACAATATCATGGCTGAAAACAAAATTGGAGCTGGACCCGGACTCAAGTAAGTGCAGTGAATTCCTTAGTGGAGCCAGGGAAAGTGCAAAAATTCAAATGTGCCAAGCTAGAGGTAATAACTTTGACTATAAAATGTTGAGATTAATGGAAGGTGGGCCGAACTAAAGTGCAGGAACTTAGATAGGGTCGGGCCAGTTCTCGGGTGAACTGCTTAATCAAAGACACAACAGAGCATCCAAGTTTTTAAAGTGCTTACAAAATATGGACAAGATGTAAAGTAATTATGGGACATATCCCCTCCTTTTAAAAACAAGATGTTACTTGCCAAACTAACATTGGTTTTGAAAGATAACCCTCTGAAGGTGTCTTTTTAATTAAGATCGGAAAGCAACTTATGGATATTTGAGTAGTAAGCAATTCAACAACATCTGTGGTTGTGGTTATTAATAATGTTAGTAGGATTATTTAGATGGATCTGTAGTGGCAGAATAATCTAATTTTCCTTTTTGTTTTTCTTTTCATTACAATCTAGCCAGGGATGTCAAAGCCCTACTGTGTTTTAGTTACATAATTATTTCCTCCTTTTTTCCTTCTCTTTAAATTCCTTCGGGAGTTTTGTTTTGTGAGTCTGATTGTATATTAGGTTGTTGGTCATCTACCGCCCAGGTTTCCTACATCAGTATAATATGATGTTGGGCTAGGTCAGTGGTTCTCAACCTTCCTAATGCCACGACCCCTAAATACAGTCCCTCATGTTGTGGTGACCCACAACTATAACATTATTTACTGTACGTTGCTATTTCGTAATTTTGCTACTGTTATGAATCATAATGTAAATATCTGATATGCAGGATGTACTGCCATTCACTGGGCAAAATTTGGCACAAATACCGAATATGCTCAAATTTGAATCCAGGTGGGGTCGAGGGTGGGTGGGATTGATTTTGTCATTTGGGATTGATTTTGTCATTTGTCAAAATAGACCTTGACATTTGGGAGTTGTAGTTCACCAATATCCAGAGAGCACTGTGGACTCAGGCAATGATGGATCTGGACCAAACTAGGCACAGATATTCAAGATGCCCAAATGTAAACACTGATGGAGTTTGGGGAAAATAGACCTTGACATTTGGGAGTTGTAGTTGTCAGGATTTATAGTTCACCTACAATCAAAGAGCATTCTGAACCTAAAAAACGATAGAATTGGGCCAAACTTCCCACCCAGAATTCCCCATGACCAACAGAAAATTCTGTGTTTTCTGATGGTCTTTCGTGACCCCTCTGACACCCCCTCGTGACTCCCCCTAGGGGTCCCGACCCCCAGGTTGAGAAATGCTGGGCTAGGTAATCTAGAAAGGAGGGAGGAAAGTCCTTTTATGGAGGACTTTCACCCTGTAATATTCCATGACAGAATGCTGAGTTTATTCTTATCTGGTGGTATGGGTGATACAGGTTCTGAGAGTCAATTTATATCTGCAACTTGAGCGATACCACCAATATCCCCAGTGAGCACCTGTGCCCCCATTCTTTGCTGTGCTGGTCATAGACGGTAATAAATTATTGAAGTTGAAGAAGGTTGTTAATAAATAAAAATAAAAAGGAGACTTATCTTCTAAAATACAGCCATAGTAGGATTTTTCTAAGTGTCTAATATCATTATTTATAAGATGTGTCCCAAATAAGATATTGCTTGCAAATAATCACTGATTGATCTGATCTTTTGATCTGTAGCATTGCTCTCTGAGGTCTCTTCTACACTGCCATATAAAATCCAGATTATCTGCTTTGAAACGGCAGTGTAGGCTCATATAATCCGGTTCAAACAAACAATGTGGATTACCTGTTTTGATAATCTGGATTATATGGCAGTGTAGACAAGGCCTGAGGATTTCCATCAAGAATACACAGATTTCTGTTAGATATTCAAGGATATAACCATAGAGGAAGTAGTATTGGATGGATGGGATGATTTCAACTGACCATTTGGAATGGAACAATGTATGAACAAAAGTTTGATATTAATCTTTGACACAATATTTTACATGGAACATTTTCCCATATTGGATTATGAAGAAATGTGTTGGAGACCTTTAATTGCATGCTATCCTATCTTAATATATTTGGTGGAAATGTTTCCACATTGTATTATTCATGTGATGAAAGAACTATTGGATATCCACTGCCATTGGCTCTATTCCCTGTTGTTAGGATAATGTGGTCAGAGAAAGTTCTAACTGGAAACATATCCATTAGGCATGAAAACACAAATTTTGGAAACTGTTAGATACAGGGATGTTGCAAGCATTCACACAGGGACACTTGCAAAATTAGACACTACTAAATCATATAATTATAAGCAGGATCAGATAGTTGTAAGCATCATTATAATTTAT